GATGAGAATCACTATGCCGTCAAGCGGATAACGCTGCCAAATAAGGAGTCATCCCGGCAGCGGGTGTTGCGTGAGGCACGCACTCTGGCCAGCTGTGAGCACCATAATATTGTGCGTTACTTTCATGTAAGTGATCTTTTGGTGCTAATCAGTGAAGAGATTATAATCAGTTTAATTTCGTTGCAGTCCTGGACCGAAACCCCACCCATTGGTTGGCAGGAGGAGGAAGATCGTAAGCTTCTGGCCCACGAGCTCTCAACTTCCATACAAATCGAAACGCCCGACGAGAGCACATTCCCCTCACTGGCCGATCAGTTTCAGGAGAAGCGGCAGCAACAGCTTTTGTCCTGGGTCTCGGATGCTGCCAATAGCACAGCCTGCAGCCATGACTTTCACGGCAATGGAGATACTGGACTACGAAACATCAAGGAGGAGTATGATGACGATGAAGAAGAGGACTCGCTTATTGAGTTTCGCAGTGAGTCGCGCTCGGCAGCATTGCGAGCAGGTGTTCAGCAGGACGATGATGACGATGAGGACGACGATGATGAGGATGATGAGAGTAAGAGGGAAGGACCACTACATCGCAGCTCCGTGTCTATTGATATCCACTCTGCGTCGTTCGATTTGAAGAACATCAACTACTCGCAGCATCCGCTGGTTTCGAACTCATTTCAAATCGAATCCGTACGCTCCAAGGGCAATGCCAGTGACGATGCCGGGGACTCCGATAGGCTGCGAAAGAAACCACTCACTCTGGCCCTGGCCCAGAATCACAATAACAATCCTCATCAGCCAAATGGCAGCCATGGCACACCTCCGAGTGCCACCATGCAGAATGGAGTAGTGGTCAAGCCCAGTAAGGTTTATCTCTACATCCAGATGCAACTTTGCCGCAAGGAAAGCCTTCGCGACTGGCTGCGTGAGAATCGGACCGAGGCTCGGGCCTCGCACATTGCCGACATCTTCCATCAGATCGTTGATGCCGTGGACTATGTGCACCTGAAGGGTCTCATTCATCGTGATCTGAAGCCAAGCAATATATTCTTTTCGCAGGATGGTAAAATTAAAATTGGAGACTTTGGCCTGGTCACCGACATGGCGGACATACCCAATCTGGTAGCCAAGTGTGGCGATCAGAGTGGCCTTCCTTCGTGTGCTCGGCACACGCAGCAGGTGGGCACCCACCTGTACATGTCGCCAGAGCAGCTGCTGGGCCGCCATTACGACTACCGAGTGGATATCTATTCTCTCGGCTTGATCTTCTTCGAGCTTCACGTGTACTTCTGCACTGAAATGGAGCGGATCAAGACAATGCGGGCCCTGCGAGAGGGCCAGTACCCGAAAGACTTTGCCAACAATTACCCCGGACAGTATGAGCTGCTACAGAAAATGCTGTCTGCCGATCCCGAACAGCGGCCACAGACGAAGCAGCTGAAGAATCAGCTGCATGATATTCTGAAATTGCCCGTCCACCTGGCAGACGGACGCAGCGAGCAGGCGGCTCTGGCTGAGGCAGCCCGTCGCTTGAGTCGCAGCCGCACCTTCAGCAGCTCCAGCGATCATCAGCAGCATCAGAAGCATTAGTGATAGACTACGGCCCGAGGCAGACACCGATTTCAGTCATCTGTTAACATTTCGTTTGTAAGTTATTTACTAAAAGTGTCCCATCGCCGTTTCTGTTTTAATCATCCTCTCACCTGGCTATGCCTCATACGCTGACCTCGGAAACTATCTGTAGGATAGGAGGATCATTTATTGGTAGCATTCTATTTGATAGGTTTTGTATTACGTTCACCTTTTAAACTCTTGCGTGTCGCAAAGTGCTTTTGTTTATAATACTTATAATTAATATACATACTATATTGATGTGCTCCAAAAAAAAAAAACAGTCGCTAGAATAAGTTTGAGTTATGATTTACGATTGAGTTGTGCCCACCCCAAATTGTTTGTCCAAGTTTTTTTTCTATCGAAGTAGCCCCCTTCCTGATTTGTGCTATCAGCTAATGCGAAAGTTTGTTTTTAGATCTAGGTGATAAGGAGAAATAAAAGTGTTTAAAAATACAAACAAATGGAAATGTTCTCTAATTGCTGACGGCGTAATGTTCAACCATAATTGATTTTATTAATGACATGACATTGCCAGGTCATTGTCTGGGGGAATACAGGTACGCTATAGTACATGCGAGTGTCGGGCAATAAAAAATGGGTTTAAATGTTTTTTTTTTATATTTTGTATCACTTTATTTTGTGTTTTATTTGCGTCTTTTGCGCATTTTCCAAAAACTTTCTCTACAGTACTAACGATTAGTCGTCGAATATTCTCATGCCACTCTGAGCCCAATTTGTTTGTAGACAATATTCGGGTTGCGGCTTTAATTGTTGTTATATATTAAATTGCTTAACATTTAGGTTTCGGTGCGGTTTACGAGCTTCTGTCCGATTAAACATTTGTTTTCTACGCTTCATTGCAATTGTTTTACAAAAATTTAACAGAGATCCGTTTTTATATTAGGCATTTTTAATAATAGGCATCTAAATTTAGCTGCTGCTGCAGCTGTCACTTAAGGTTAATTAGATGGCTCTGAACAAACAACAAGCGGCTGAAGCATTTCATTTATCAATACATTATTTAAATTTTTAGATTTTAATTATTATATTGCTACACTAATGTATGTATTTCCACTTGCGTCATTCGGTTGCAGAGGCAAGGCGTTGGTTGCTTAAATTTACAAAAATTCAACAATTGTCCATTGTTGCGTTTTATTTTATTTATTGTTTAATTTCCTTTCAACTGTTTTAGCGTTTAGCATTTATTTTATTTTCCAAAAATTAACAGCCATTTTGACGAATCTGTAAATGTTGAAAATCAAAGGCAAAAACACGAACCAAATACATACAATTATATTTAGATTTACTCGTATATATGTATATGGGTATATATCATATAAATATGTCGATGTTAGTGCTTGCCGTTTGCTTACTTGTTGGGGAGACTGTGGAAGTAATGTATATTTCAGTGTTGGAAAGTGACAGTGGCCATGAACACATTTCTCTAGTTGGGATCAGTTCAGTGCTGGTGAACAAAGAATGAAACGTTTTTGGTACGTTAAAAGGGTGGGGGGGGGGGGGGGGGGGGGGGGGGGTTACAAGTAAGCAAACTGAGCTATATTTTTATTTATGATTTTTTAACAATATATGTCCTTTATCAAAGCCACATTTATAGAATTTGTATTTCCTATTTATTAACAATATCTTTTTTGCAAATTCTGTATCATATAATGTGTGTTTTATTATCGCCATTGCATTGTTTACCCTTCAAATAAGTTCTAAAAATTTGTTTTCCATTTCGGTTTTTTGTAATCTTAATTCTTTCCTATATTCTTAGCCGAACACTCAACTGGGAGTGGAACCAAATTTGGCAGTGCGCCCAGTTATCTATGTACTTTGAATATCAGTTAGGTTTAGAATTATGTATATGCGTACGTAACTACAATAGTTCCCCCATTAATACTTATATTGCTGTAAAAGTCGGTTCATAGCATTTTCGCAAAGTTCATTTTGTTGAAATCTCTATGTACAAAGTCAGCCTTGATTGCTTTTCTTTTGAGTTGTTTGAGTTTGTTGCTGTTTGAGGTGAAGAAAGAGATCGGTATGGTATGGTCTGTATTCATTACGTAGTAGACTCTCAGTTAAATCAGCTACACAGGCGGTGTCCAACAGATAGAGTGATATACGTTATCTAACTAACTAAATGTGACCGCTACACTATACTACACAAAACACCTGCTGTTGCACCTTAACCCTTATTTCTAGCCTTCGATTCTAGCCTAAGGGTGAACGGTTTTCGTGTATGTCATGGTTAATGCCGCTATCACTAAAAATAATAACACAATCGTCGGTGTTTTGTGCGTTTTAATTATATTCTTAGTTTAGTGTGTATCGGTTTGCTATGACATAATTGTTTGCATTTAGGCTTCATGCTTAGGGTTCTCTACACGGTGCTTAGCTTAGTCGTTTTCCAACACTTCTCAGCAAGTCAAGAAGAGCCCTAAGCTTTCATTCACACTTGTGAGTGCCTACCTATAATTTTGTTCTTGTAACATCTTTCCCTACAGGCAATGAAATGAGGTGCAGCAGATAATTATGGCTATAAATCGATTGAGCAGTGTAATGGCATGATTGTAATACTACCTCAAATACTTAAGGCTATTTATTCTATTTCCCAACATGACTTAAAGTTACGTACTTTTTGTAGTCCAGTTTTTTTTTGTTTGAGACTTGACATTCGCTGACGCTTTGTTTGTGGTTTTGCTTAAGAACTAATTCTTGAAATGATCACAACGTTAAAGTATGTTTATCGTACATATATGTATGTATGTATGTGTGTGTATGTATAGCTTAAATAGAGATATTACTTATACGATTTCGGTTTGGTTTCCATACCAAGGTTATTCGTTCGTTACATAAAATGTATTGTAAATTATGGTGGGATTAATTGCCTATTTACGATTCCACGACGAATAAAATAATAACTACAATATACCGATAATAACGATAGTAATTAAATGAAATCCAAACTTTTGCAATTCGTGTACATCTTCGGGGATACTCTTATTGTTTTTTGTTGCATATTCATGTCAGCTGCTCCTCCTGCCTGGCTCACGGGCATTGAATTGCAAATGCAAATGCGAATTCAAAAAAGTTGTCAGCAGGAGGATGAGAGGATGTTGGTTGGCTCTGGCTTGGGATCTGGGTTCTGAGCTTTTGCTCCTGGCCAAATGTATCTTTGGTTCGACAGCCATTGCCATGCCATGCCATTCCAATTCCCATTCCCATTCGCATTGCCATTTAAATGAGCGGAGCTCTTGCAAACAAAAAAGCGATGCGATAAAAGCAGCCAGCAAAATGTTGTAATAATGGCAAACAAAAGAAGAGAGGGCAAACGAAAAGAAGGGGAGTCGACACACGGGGACAACTGCAAAGTGTGGCCACTAAAATGTATGCTAAAATATGCATCTGCAGGCATTGCCAAGGGGCAACAATGTTGTTTCTTCTGTTGATGCTGCTGTTGGCCTCAAGGAGATTGCGTATACGCCAGCGTGCCACCCCATCTGGCCCCACATCTTGTCCCATGTCGTCGGCAACGAAACAGCTGCGAAAGTATCCACCCGGGACACTCGTATTTACGCGCTAGATCAAAACGTTTGCTTAAAAAACTTATGCAACATTTGCTAAAGTATTGTACAGCGTCCTTTATTCCTAGTTGATTGTGAGAACTCAGTGCCAACCAAGCCACCGCCTCCTCCAGCGACACCACCGCCGCCTCCGCCACTCGTGTTGCTCCCACTGCTGGTGCAGCCCATTAGCTCACGGAATACGTCCCCGATTTTGTAGTTGTATCTATAAAAAGGGCCAGAAAAGAATACCAGTTAGTCTTCCTTGGCAGCCCGCGGTGCCGAAGCAATTGATATACGAGTGCTGTGTGGGAATATCTGGGTATTTGTGGGGGTATCTGTGGGCTGATATTGATTACTCACTGCGCCGAGCACTCGACATAGCCGCAGCGCCAATGTTTGCGCACCAGCGTGGAAATATCCTTGAGCTCCTGCCATACCATGACGAGTGTGTGTGAGATGAAAGAGAAGAGATTCAATATTGAGTGCAATCCGTTGGAAACTAATAGCACGAATGGTGAATCAATAGCATAGGCATTCTCTGGCAATTCTTAAAAGAAGTAGAGCGGCTTTTCTATTATTAAAGAACTAAGGAAAGGGTTTCTTAACATTAGTATAACATTAGTGTACAACTTTATGCATTCTCATCCAAAACAGATGACTCTGTTGCTGTTCCAGAACTGTTCACTTTCACTTTCCAAAGTTTTCCAAAGCACTCATTTACCTGACTCTTAAAACCACTAAGAGAGTACTCACCTGCGAATTGGCCTGCGCCTCAGTCACATTGTCATATTTATTGCCAACCACAATTATGCTAAAATCACGATGACTGAAACTGTCCAAGATTTGATCTCTCATCGAGCGGCAGTACTGCAATCGAATGAATCGCGTAAATTGGCAATCAATTAAAGGAGGTAAAATCGGCATGCCATTGGGCATATCGTTGATGATGGTGATGATGATGGGGCGGCAGGGGCACTCACCTGAAACGTTTCCAAATTGCCCATGTCATAGACTAGCACATATGCGTGCACCGTTCGCAGCCCCAGCGGATGTCCGTTGTTCCATTCGGCGAAGTTATCAGCCGGAAATCGCTTCTGGCAAAGGATTGCCATGCCAATTGGTCGAGTGTTTGTTTTTCATCAGCATATTTTCGACGAGGACAGCACAGAGCACAGCGCACAGAGCACAGAACCCCACGGCACGCACCGACAGACAATTCCGTACCCGTACCAGAGAGAATATCGTATGGCACACGGATGTATAGTATGTGTCAATACGGTCGGTTGAGTTGTATTTTTGTTTCGCATTATTTCGGCACGCATATGAAAATCAAATATGGAAAAGCGGAAAAGAGTTTTATGTCATTTAATAGCGGTACACAACAGGCAGCAGGATGACATAAATACGGAAATATATTTATCGTTTTTTTTTCAGGAAAAATAGAAGTGTTTATTGTGTTTATGATATGAGTTGAATCAGTAGTTATGGTTTATCAAAACAATTCCTCAAATGTCATTATAGCATGATAACTCGTTAGATAAACACAATTATTTTTGCATATGGATTTGTATGGCATTTTAATTGGGATTAAATTTAATAGAGAGAGAGGGGGAGAGAATGGAATAATCCGAAACAGAATCCGTGCAAATAGATATCCTGTCATCCTTGAACTAAAAGTGGAATAATCCCAAACAGAGTAAATCTGTTTGATATAATATCTTTTTAAATTGATTTGCTTTATGGAAAACATCTGGCTAAATGGCACTGGGACTCTTATTTATTTAGCATTTACTTTTCCCCTATTGTGGTTGGATGAAAATCTTTTTAGTATTCGTTGCTCCAGCGGCAGCAGCAGAAATGGCATTTATTTATTCATCTCTGTTTCAGAAAATTCCCTTAATTACTAACAGCTTTCACGTTTATTAAATGTAACTGAAGCTCTTGTTTCTGCGGTTATTTCTTTGTCAGAGCGACTCTCATAATAGCCATAAAACGTAGCAGTTACACTAGAATTCTCGTAAAATGACAGAACATTTACGGCCATGTGAGTGTGTGCTGTCTGTCAGTGGTTTCTCTCGGCAACAAAAAAGAACTACTGGTTCCATTAGTGCTTGTACGGCGGGCACATCCGCTTCCTGCTCTTTTTAGATGACATAAATCAATCCCCAAGCAGAGCTGCAGTTTTCGGTGTAAACAGGACCCAAAAGGCAAATCAGAAGCACACCACGGGATCTGCGTTTGCCTCTCCCGCCCCTGTGCTAATGAGCAGGAGACGGAATGAAGAATAGGAGTGGGAATGAACGACAGAAGCAGAGTCGGGGGCTAGGGGCTAGGGGCCAGGGTCTTTGGTTTGTACGCCCACAGCAAGACAGTAAGTAAACGTTATAATTAAATTTACGGCGCAGCATTTTAGGCGCAAACAAAAGTCAAAGGCCGACTAGACAACAGACTCTAAAAAGGAAAGATAGCCCAAGAAGAGACCAGAACACTGGGGGAGAAACAAACAATCCCCTGTGCCGTCCAGCAAGCTCCAGCAACCCCTGACCCTATCTGCGGCACAGATGGTCGCAGCAGCTCAAGAGTCCGCATTCCTTGGCGCCTGGGCGTCTGGCCCTTAGGGTTCTTTGGCTTCGGCCCCACCCCCCCCTGTTTGTTTGTGTATTGTGTCATTCTCCACCGGCTGGCAGCCAGTCGACGCCACTCCCGTCAGGAGGCAGTAACTTAGCTAGATTTACGTTTTTGATTAAATTTCATTTAATTTGTGCTTTTCCCTGGCTCTGTCCTGGCTCCTCTCCGAAGCCTTGTTAATTAACGGGCTGGGCTGGACTATGTGTTGGCCTGAAATGCGAGCAGCTCGTTAGCCCAGGATGTACTCAATGTCTGTTTCGTTGTAATTGCTGCACTGTGGCTGTTGCCGTCATGGATTGGTCTTTGGAACTCAAGTGGCGACACGCGTACTCAAACATTGAATGCAGTCGACAGGACACGCCAACAACTTGTAAACCAAGGGACTGAATGACTTAAATTCCCAAAGTCTGGACGGCAGATAAAGAAAGTCTTAGACGATGACCTTGGATAGTCGATTCTTTTGATTTATTTTAGTGCACATCCGTGATTTATGAACTATTTTATCCTTAGATAAGGACCAGACAGCGGTAAGAGTTTCCGAATTTAGAAAGAATAGCTTCCTCTCATAGCTCATCATCCATTTGAGTAAAATTCTTGTACAGGATGCTCCATAGCTTAAGTTCTTCTAAGAAAACTCGGTTAAAATATGAATTTGTCCATCCATTACCAGAACTGTGCAATATTTTAGAGAAAAACTTTCCGTCTGAATACATCCCCTATAGGCATCGTTAGTCCAGGTCATTGAGTCCCCAGCTCCGACCTGTTCCCATTCTCTGGGGCCCTCGAGAAGAGGACTCTCAATAAATTGTCATTTCAAGTTGCTGGACTTTCGCTGCGGAGGCCACTTAGAGTAAACAATGGCTAACTAAATGGCCTACCCACTCACTCACTCACACAATTACAGACAAAGACATATACATAGGTATACATACATATATACATAGAACAGATGTTCTCTCTTTCAGGGCGAAAATCTGTTGGAAAATAAATGCTGCTTTGCTGCTTGTACAAGTGGAAACCATTAAGGTGGACTTTGAGTTATGACGGCCAGCCAGTGCACTTGACGATGAAAAATTTACCACAATAAACAGGAGCCACCCTTAGTCCTCGCCTGACTCTTTTAGCCTGCCTCTTAGACAAGCATCAGAGCCATTTGGTCAACACAATGGAGGAATACCAGACCAAAAAAACGAAGTAAAATAATGAAAAAAAGAACTGTACTCGAAAACAAATTCACGCCAAAATGGACATGAATAAGTTGAAAGGCATTGGCAAGGTGGCCAGGGCAGGAGGGGGCATGCCAGTGCCATCAAACGAGGTTACATGAGCGGGGAGGGGGAGGAAGAGGGGAGGAACGGTAGCACGTAGTTAATATGACAATGGTTGTGGCTGGTCGACTACCGGCTGTCCGACTGTCCGACTGGCAACTGCTTTTTGCTGCCTGTCAACTCTTTTGCATCGTTTGCCATTTCAATGCAAATTTCTTTGGGTGTATATGTACTCGTAATATCTGTGTGGTGTGGCCGTGTCCATGTATTTGGCAATGCTCGGATATTTATAGCGACTATACAGAGACTTTTCCCTTTGTTGTGCCTGGGCTACATTGTCAGCACACCCACTTGGCCCAGTTCTGGGCTTTGTGCTGTTATCCCAGGCATAGATCGGAGGGTATATAAGATATACCATCAAGCAGGGAACAGTTGGGTAACAAAACCATGGGATCTATGCACGAAAGAAGCTCTGATGGGAGGACAACGAAAGTGTCAACAACATTCTCTTTGCTCTTAAGTAATCCTTTTCGAGGTCTTTTATGGATATAGAAAATTACTGAAATCTAGAATCTATCTGGGAAGCAGTACATAAGCTACTATTTGCTCTTACTTTTTGTAGCATTCACCAATGAAGCCGAACCAAATGTGAACACCCTAGAAACATCTACTTTTAAGCTGGCTTCCCTCAACTTTGCATAGGCAAAAACTGGAGAGAAAAACTTGCCCTAACGCCAGTGTGTTCCCATAAATATTTTATGATTGTTAAACGTGGCAAACAAACACATTTGGGGCCGGGCACGAGAGTGGAGGAGAACTGTACTGAATGGAGATGCAGGCCAAGCCGCAGGCGGGCCCTGGACAATCTCCTTCAACAATTTCGGTGTCAGTTTGTGATTTGCGGTTTGACCGAAAACTGTTCTCTAATTGCCGATGTCAGTGGCGCAGTCCTTGGGTCCACTCCAAGCCAGAACTAGTGCACACCAGTGCCTTGAGCTTTCAGGTTTATGCAGAGCAAACTGCCCTCAAAAGATAGACAGAGAGTAAGGCCACAGACAGGACGAACTTTATGGGCTGGCTATAATTGCTCCCCCATGCGAATAATAGTACGAAATGGGGCAGGATCACGTCAAGGACCTCGTACGGCAGCAGACACGTTCAGGCATTTTTGAGTAGTTAAAAATTGATACATACATATATCCACAAAAACTGCCCACCAGAACCACTTGCCTGCACTGTCTGTCGGCATATTAAAAATTTATATATGCACCCACTTTTTATGGGCCTGAACGGAGACTTTAATAATGTTAAGTAAGCAAAAGCATCTCCCCACAGACGACCAGGAGAAGCCACCGAACAGATGGGAAAGAATTTGAGAGGCTTGGAAATACTCTATACGAAAGTTTTACTTGCAGAAAGTTATTAGAAGCCACTAAGAAGATATTCTTAATATAATTTGATTGCAATTGTAAACGGATAAAACGGATAAGTGCTGCCAACTGATCTATAATATGTTTCCTGCTACAAAACTAACATTGCAACGCAAATTTAAATTAAATTTTAAACTTAGATCGAATCTTTTGGTGCCAGCAATCTACTAAATGGAATTCGAATGCTGCTTTCTGCTCTCTGTACGTAACCAAATCTGATTGCATTCTTTTGGAATTTATGCAACAAAGTCCGACAAACCCTTCAGCAACATCTCTATGCCTTTAGGGCATTGGAAAAAATGAAGAAAAATGAATAAAACGTAAAGCGTAAAACCCCCAAAGAGAGTTCGCTTGTGGCAACATCAGAAGCAGCTTCAGTTGCCTGCCATTCGGTTTTTGTGGTTACTTGTTGTCTGCGGTAAACTGTTGCTCTGGTGTGCTTGATTATAAAAAAAAACGAGGGGGAACGTTGTGAGTTGCTGCGGACACCGCAACTCTACAGTTATACCCGATACTAAGTCAGTATGGCTCTCCTCCGGCAGACGCCGCTAATATTAAACGACACGACAAAGAGTGCGTGCGAGAGAGACAGAAAATCAGTCTGAGCGTGACGTCGGGCGCTGCGTAGCCACTAAAAATTGATTTCTTGCTTTTGGCTACAAAAATGATCCGATCTGATCCAGATTCAGCAACCTGATAGATATGGTCATTATTTATGATTCTGCGTTTTTAGTTTTCTCGAATCTGCAATATTGTGGATGCAACAGATTTTCGTCTTTTGTGCGGGCGGATGGGGTCGGGGCGAAATTCTGAGATATACGTTTCATAGTGAGATCTAACAGGAGTGCGGATACCAAATTTGGTTACTCTAGCCTTAATAGTCTCTGAGATTTATGAATATCCCCAGATCTGCATCCTTTGCGGGGGCGGAAGGGGGTGTGGCGAAATTTTGAAACAAACTCGTCTCGGTCCGATATATTAGGAGTGTGGATACCAAATTTGGTTGCTCTAGCTTTTATGGTCTCTGAGATCTAGGCGCTAATGTTTTACTCTAAACAAAGCCGCCTATGCTACGTGTGTGTTAGAGAGAGACAGGGCGAGAAAAAATTAAATTGTTTTCGTGATGCTGGCTATAATAATAATACGATCCAATTCAGATTCTGCAGTCTAAAAGATATGGTCATTCTCTACGATTCTGCGTTTTTGGTTTTCTTGTATCTTTAAAATTGTGGATGCCACAGATTTTCGCCTTTTGTGGGGGCGGAAGTGGGCGGGGCAAAGTTTTGAAATATTTTCGGAGCAGTGACATATCACAGAAGTCTGGATCCAAAACATCGTTGCTCTAGCTCTTATAGTCTTTGAGCATTAGGCGCTGAAGGGGACGGACAGACGGACAGACGGACAGACGGACGGACGGACAGACGGACAGACGGACGGACGGACAGACAGACATGGCTCAATCGACTCGGCTATTGATGCTGATCAAGAATATATATACTTTATGGGGTCGGAAACGATTCCTTCTGGACGTTACACACATACACTTTTACCACAAATCTAATATACCCCAATACTCATTTTGAGTATCGGGTATAAAAAACGAGAGAATTCGAAAATGGAAGGGAACCGTAATGGACTGTAATGAAAATTCTGCAGGTACGAGGCACCCATATAAATTTCTCGAGTCTAGACAGACCCGATAGCACAGCAGGCGCAACAGAAAGCTGGCTTAAAGTGTCTTCGGGTTCGGAATACATTTATGCGAGTCGGGCCTCTGGCAACAGATTGTAACAGCTTTCTCTGCGTCTCGCTCTCCCACTCTCTCTGACAATTTAAATTATTTAATAAATTACTTTGCCCAGCCGGCGTAAAAAAGGAGAATTTTCTAATATGTTGGGTTCCCATGAAATTCACTGGAAAATTGCATAAAAATAGTTTGTATCGTACACATTTTCATAAAATATTTCCCCTAGCGCTGACAGTGCGAAAGTTATAACTAAATTATGCGAAAGTTAGGATGTCCTGTGGCTAGGAGGAGGCGCTGTTGCTGGTGCTAGGCATTTAGGGTACTCACCTGGGGTGGAACGTCCAGTACCATCAGCTCACGTATGCAGGTGTCGCACACCAAACAGTTTTTATATATCTTCCGACGTGTTGTCGTCTGATGAGTCTTGGGAAAGTCATGGTAGAAAAATTGCTGCAAAAATGGAAGCGCACAAAATTGAATATTATTGTGATTGTAATATATTGCGCATACGGCGCGTGGGCCGTAGTGCGAGATTAAATATAAAAATGAAAATTCCATAGCGAACTCGCTCGATTCCCATAGAAACCTTGCTCTAAAGCAAACCGAGCGAGCTTTTCTATATTTTTTATGTGTTTCTTTCGTTCTTCTATGGGATTTCTATGCCAGTTTTCTGGTCATAGAAGGAGAGGCACGAGCACGAGTAGATGAAGCCGGGTGGACGCTGGTTTATTTCTGTTTCTGTTTCCATTGGTTTTGTTTTGTGCTCTGTGTTAGGCAAACATTTTAAATATGTGTTCAGCTCTGCTCTGCTCTGCTGTTAGGTTCTTTTATATGAGCTTCTCATGAGGTTCTTTCACCCATATGCAGGCGCAGGCCTGAGGTCAGGACACATTTTATTCACATTTTTAGCTTATTAAAATTGTGTGGTCATAAAAGCGGGCTATGGATTTTATGCTCTTGGTGGTCATGTAAACATAAAAATGCCAGTAAAAAGCAGTAAATCTACAGAATGAAGGGTGCTGGAGCCGTGGCGGGGAGCGGGATCAGATGGAGCTAATCTATGCTGAAATCATATAGATTTTATTTACAGTTTTTCTACTTAATTTGAATGAATTATGGTTTTAACAGATGGGATTTTCCACCTTAAATCTGAATTATATGGAGGATAATGAGCTTTTTGTGAAAACTTAATGTAAAAAGATCTACCCGGGGTTCAATTCAACAAAAAACCTTTCCATGTGCTTAACTGCTCAATCATCAGATTGAAAGATATCTGTAGACAGATATATCTTTCCTAAATCTCTTTTTAATTTAATCGCCCCTACCTAAAGTCCTGTAAATTCACTCTCTATAATTTTCCATTTTCTTTTTCATTAGTTAATAAATTTTTAGCCTCTTTATCACTAGCTTTTGAGCCAGTTTTAAGCTTCAATAACGAGCCATAACTCTAATGCGAAATGGAACTCATAACCAACACGCGGGACTGTTTCGAAATCTGCACTGAAACGTGGTCGAAATGACCCCATTAACCGGCGCAGAGACCTCTAAGCCAGCAGTTCAGCAATTTGGTGCGTGGCTGTGTGGTTCGAGACCATCTAATTTTCCCCTAAAAGCCGGGCAGAAAGAGCGATGCCAAAGCGAATCGCAGTCAATGGGAAAAGTATCCCCTGAAAATAAGGCAGAGGCCGGCGAAAGGCATAAAATAAATTTTCCACAAAAAAAAGTAAGTGAAAAGGAAAAACGATAATGAAAGAAGGGTAGTGTGGGCGTGTTCTGTGGGCGCATGTGTGTGTGTGTGTGTGAGTGAATCAATGCATGAATTGAATGAGTGACAGGCTCAAAGGATATTTAACGCCTGATTGCATTTTAAAGTGATGTCCTGTCATTTACTCCAGCCAAGGAGCAGACCAAGAGATTGCCAATTCACGATTATCCCACATGATGTATGTGTGTGCCAGTGCGGATGCGTGATAACTTGGCTAATAATAAAGTCAAGTGAGAATCATTTTGAGGACACCCATCACCACAATCCCGCTCTGGTCCTCGTTCTCATGTTCTGCTAATATAAATGCAAATTCTTTTCTGTCAATCGGCGGTTCCCTTGTTTTCGCTGCAATGAAATCGAATGCAATTTATGCACACGACGACTCAATTACCCGAGACCGAAAAAGGATATCCGCTAAGATGGCGGCCACCCAAACGTCGGAAGCGGAAGTGGCCAGTGGCCAGTGGCTGGACAGCCTTAAAGCGAAGCGTAGAATGTTTTTAGCGGCCATTTTAAATTATATCCTGCACACACAGACGATCCCATAGGGGCATGGCATGGGGAAAAGGGGTCACATCGCATCGCATCGCCTCGCGTAGATGCCACGCTTTTATGTCCCAGCGCCGCATATCATTGAGTTTTATTTTTATTGAACTGGTAATTGAATAAGAAATGACATTGATGGTCGTCTCCATCTCGGTCGTGCTCTCTTGGCATCCTGCTCTATACTGCTCCTCTGCTACACCCTCTCTGCCCCATGGCCGGCTTTGCGCCTCTTTATGCTTCTTGCTGCGCCATAAAGTGCGCTACATTATCTGTCACATAAATAAGCAGCGACCGGGCTTGAGCCGAAAGAAGCTTTTCGAAATTTACACAAATGGTTATTCATGGCGTATACTTTATGGCTATGATGCATTGCATTTTATTTGGCTCCTTTATCTGCAGGAATTAGCTTCAGTTTATTCGACAATTTACTCAACCAATTTGAGGCAGATTCAGGCACGGAACGGAACGGAACGGACATTGAACTGAGTTCAAGCTGGGCAATGAGTGGGGCAGTAAATTGAATTTGCACTAAAAAACCAGTTTTGAAATATGAAAACAGTAGTTAATATTTAATCCCCAGACAGATGCATTTATATCGATGCGACTGTTGATTCTTCGCAAACTTGTATCTTTTATCTCACATTAAACCTCAGTCCTTTTCGACTACTACTCGAAACAAAAAATTCTTTAAATTTATTCATTTATAAATTTTATTTAAACGATTCTTCAAAGATTCGAATATGTATAGGCACGTATTTGGCGATTTGATTTCACATGTATTTCCTTTTACACGGCCATTACATTTACAGAGCAATCAAGATTTCAGCCATGTTCATGCTCTCCCTACCGGAAACCTACTCGCCCACCCCGCCACCAATTTCCTTCACAGCTTGACCGCAAAACAGCCATTAAACAGGACGTAATTGATTTTGCAGTGCTTAAAATGCCATAAAAATGCACAAATCTCGCATTACACACAATAAAAGACGTCCAGCTGGGAAGGAGCTGGGAGAGAGCACTGGCACATGGACACAGGGGCTTAGGAGGGAATAGAACAGATCTAGTTTGAGGCTAATGCACAGACCTTATCCCGCACAAATACACGGACAATCGCAGACATTAAACGCAGCCGTAAAACGCACACAGACAAAACAAACGTATGGAAAATAATGAAGAGCAAAGCGAAAGCAAATGGCAAATGGCAAAGCAACCCGGAACTCGGAACTCAACTCGCAACTGGAACTGAAACTGGAACTGCCAACTGCAGTTAATTGAATTTGCCGAGCAGCAAAGGGCCGTGCATACGCAATGGGCGGGAAGAAGACTGTTGGGGAAAGAGGAGTCTGTGGGAGTTTACGCAGGGAAAAGAGCCAGGGCTTATACGCTTTTTAAAACGATTAAAGAACTAGGAGACATAGTGACCTACATCTAAGCACTTAATTAAGTTAGATCTGCATTAATAAGGTAGAAATCTAACGAACGAGTTTAGGTATGGTTGATATGGTCTATGTCTTGTTACATCTGAAGGCAAATAAAGTGTCCCCTGTTGAGGCATTGCTTGATTGTAATAGAGAATAAAACGAATCAACCTTCGAGTGTATCATGCACTAAAAGCTCTAAGGACTGACTGCAAAGGCCAGTGGTTTAAGGACAATTTTCCCGTCTAAAGCAAAGAATTACTTATATAAGAAATGTAAGACCTTTACGTTTATCATTTTTAGGGTCTTTACAAAGCCCCTATCCTAGCTGGTATACCCTCCACTCGGTAGACTCCTGAATGCTGAACACATATGCGCCTTTCTGGCTCTGTGCCTCGCCATTGTCTAATTACAAAAGATAAACCACAAAAGATACGATGCGATGCGAAGCGCAAATCAAATTAACGGCCCTCCTACACGCACACAAATGCAATTAGGAGGGCTAACACGCACAGAGCAGAGGAGAGTAGGAGAGCTTTGGGGTGCAGGTAGAACGAGGCGCTAAATATCCTCAATGAGAGGCAGCTGCTCTGGGACTGGTCTATTAAAAAGTTTGACGCTAAACTGATGCTCCTGCTGCTGCTCCGCTCCTACCACGGCTGCTGATTCCACTAAACTTTTCAGCTTTCATCGGGGTCGCCATCGCCGTCACCGTCGCCCCATGGCCCCATTAAAAATTTAGAGCCCAGGTTCGGGCATGAAAAGTGCAGTCCTGCCTACCCATTGTCCCACCTTACCACATCCTGATTATGGCATACATCCACGCTTTTCCAAAGGGAAAGAGAGAGAGTTTTAATCAGGAATTGTGTTAATTGAAAGCGCAATTTGTTATTGAAAAATTAATTAATGTGACTGGGCAACAGAAATCCTTTCTATGCCTTTATGGAGGGGAAGGATAGGGGGAATGATGACTGGGCTTGTGTTGTGGATAATGACTGTTATGCCCATTAATTTTAATTGCATTACAAACAGCAATGCACTTAATATACGTATATTTAAAGCTTCAATGGCAATTCCGTATTAATTGTTTCAATTAAGTTGCGATTCTGGGCAAATGTTCTTTGGTATTTGGGATAATAGATTTAAATATCTTTAATTAAGACAGGGGGACGGGGAATCTAATGAAAGCAGCACAAACACTATTCAGTGATAGATACAAACGGGCATTGTGGTTGCTTAGAAAATCGATGCATACAATATATAAAATCTCTCGACTTTTATCAAATTTAATACATAGATAGGTATACAAGTCAATGGCCCACCTGTAATATGCTTGTTTTGCCGACGCCAGTAGCCCCCAAAAATGCGGCTTTAAGGGGGCCCTGCAGCCATGGCGGCTCCGCACCACCCTCCAGAGTGATGCGCTATGCCGAAATGCACTTATTTTGTATATGAAGCTCCATTTCAATTGAGATCTTTGTGGCTTTGTTGGCAATGGGACTGGCTTTCGATTTGGTTCCTTTGGCTCCTGGTCCTGCTGCTGCTCCTGAGGCTGTGGCTGTGGCTGTGGCTGGGGCTGGGGCTGCTGCTGCTCCTGTTTTATTAGTGGCTGCTGTTGCTGTCCTTGCACTATCACCGACATAATCAACGCTTCGTGTGCTACCGATCAATAGTTTCTTAGAGTTTGTTGGTGATATTGTACTACTCCACATTATATTGTTATTATAATTGCTTGTAGTATTGTTGTTATTCCTTTGCTTTAACGACGCCAGCTTGACTGATTTGTTCGGTTAAGGGGTTTTCGGATAGAAGAAGGTGTCCCCAAAGCAGCAGACTTTGCTTCGGAGTGTGGAGGGTTATAGCTGGAATGAAAGCTGGAGCTGTGTGGCAGGACAAGGCATGTTCGTGCTTATGAGTGGTTTGGATCTACAATAAGTGCTGAAAGAAAGAGAGAAATTACAAAGAAATTAGTTTTTGGAATCATTTTACATGGACTGAAAGATATAAAAATGTACAGCCAATGAGAACGCTCTCTGACTAACAAAATAGTTTGTAAATGGCTACCAAGAAGACGGAAAAGTATTCTCTTTTTTTTAGTCGCAATCCCCGATTTTATAAGCAATTGAATGATTCGGTTTCTTCCATCAATTGAATTTTGTTGCCCATCTGATTGGAAACTCAATCATAATGCATAATATAATAATTTAAATGGAGTTTCCGCAGCAATCTGACAGCTACACCGAAGTAAACACAAATCAATGGCATCCAATAAATTCTCAAACGAAAATTGGGGAAAATTCCGCACCCCTCGGAAAATGTGCTTCTGCTGGCAATCAGCTGCGACGTTGCTAACTAAATTTATTGAGTCGCCAGCGGATATTGCACATTGATTTCATTTTAATAACATAAATATTCTCTGGCCCTCGCTTTTGATTTGTTTGTTGTTGTTTTCCCTTGGATTTTCGCTTCGCCTCGCCTCGCCTCGCTCCGACCTTTGCACTGCCAATAATAAATTTCAAATTTCACATTTCACTTCCGCTGCACAACGGAAGTTGATTTCTGGGTCTTGCGCTGCCACCGGCCTCCCGAGGGCTCATTTTCCTTCTGCCTATTTTCCGCTGGAAATGAAAAGAAAAAAAACCGGCACAAAAAATAAAAACATTAAGTGAGGCGTGAAAAATGTTTGGCAATTCTGTTTCTGCCTCTCTTTTTATTCTGAGTACTTTGGGAGGAACCAAACCACCACAGGGTGCATGTAAATTAAACGACAGCAGCTTTATAATTAGAAAAGTTTGGGCGCTTCTTCGGAACGAAATGAGATTGCTCGTTGATTAGCCCAAAATATGTTATATAGATAGATGGAAAGTTGGGCAGCCATGTTCTTGGCAGCTATATAAAATTGGTTCATACTTAAAGCGGGCTGTTTCGGGACGCTGTTTCCCCACGTAATTGTTTAGACATCTGCCAACAGCTTCATCTATCATCCGACCACTCAACGCCTTCGCCTGGCAGGCGGTGGAAACTTAATAAATTTAATAACCGCAAAATATGCCGTGGGCGAAATGAGCGGGTAGACGGGGTGCCAAAAACGCCACACAGCCATCAAATCGTTGGCCTATTTATAGGCCCCCCCCCACACATCTCTACAACATCTTCTACATTTCCTACATCTTCAGCAAGGAGCTCTCCTTTCGTGCCGTTTCCCCCCCCCCAATATATTCCATGCGTCATCGAGACGACGCCCACACATAAGTAGGTGCGTATTGTTGGGATGCCAGGAGCAAGACGAGGCGGCTGATTTGATTTGATCTGATATGATTGAGGGGCGCCCCGCCCGGGCGTTGCTCAAGAGGCAACCCGGCACCAGCGCCCACGTACACACAAAAACAAAAGTGAGTCACCTTCTGGGACAATGAGGACTTGTGTTTTTATTTTTGGAGGCCATAAACCAGAAAGAAGGAAGTCAAACTGTGTGAAATACTCTGACTCGGGGAATGATAGGCTGGTTCAGCAGATTGGAGGAGAGTTAATCCTTATATGTAGGTGGGGTTGAATGAAGGTGTGTCTGTTATTTTAGGAAGAAAAAACTTAGGAGTATTTACTGTTATTGCAGAGAAAAGTTGATTTCAATATTTGATTGTTAGGAATCGATAGCAAAAAATTCAAATTAAAACGAATCAAAAGGTGATTGGATGACAGAAGACTAGTAAAATTTTGATGTTTAGTTTGAAGAAGCAATCAGAAATAGCTGTGCAAAATAATTTGATGCACCATTAAAGCCGAATCGATTAACTATCGAAGCCAGGAGCCATAAAAAATCCGAACTGAAAGGAACTCCAAAGAAAAAAGAGAGGCAAAAAGTAATGGTGTAAATAAATTGGAGAATTGTTTGTTTTCTGGTAGGAACCAGAAGAGTCTATAAATAAAGAGCCCTTTAAAATTTAGGATCCACAAAAAAAAGATCAAAGAACTGTAACTCAAAGTACCATTCCGGCAAAACAGAAATTCGAAAACCTTGAGAGCAAATGAAATCGCTATCCCTACGAATAAATCTACATAGCCCACATAAATCTGAAAGTATGTAACTTTGTTTTCCAAACACCCTTTAACAGAGTCTTAACGCCAGAACTTTGATTAGATTCCCGGGGAAAGAAAAGTGAATTTAATTTGGAAAACAATACATTTGGGAGCGCATAAAGGGCATTTCGAATGGGTTGCCCGTTTGCTGCTTTACCCCTAAGCTCGTTGCTCATACGCCCCGTGGCCCGGTTGATTGATACGTACTCGGAAAACGTACGTAAACAAGTTTTTGAGGTTGAGGTGTGGGCATTCCCCGGCCCGGGGGCGTCATTGTCGAGACACAAAACCTGGCAATTGAAAACTTTCCACATTTTTTGTTCCTTCTGTTTTGGCAACACTCCAAAAAGAGTGTAAGGGTCTCTGCGAGACTTGGCATTGGAATCAAAGTCAGACAATTGCAGGGCCTTTATTGTGTTTCAGTATATTGTAATACTTTTATCTGCCCCCGGACTCGGTTACAGTCCCATCCTCCTCCGCCTCCGCATCCCACTCCCCACTCGGTGTTGTTACAGGAATGTTTATGCTGACAGGCTCACGCAGGCTGTTCCCAGTCGGAGTTCGACAGTCGGGTCCAGGTCCGAGTTACAAAACCACTCCCAGACCCAGACCCAGACCCATTCCGCATCCGATTCCCCCCTCCCATTCACCACCATTTCATGGCCTGTCTGCCTTGGCTTCCTATCCTTCCTTACTATAGCTTTTGTTTTATGCCTCACTTCCACCTTGTCCTCTTCTCTCTCTCTCTCCCTTTCTTTCTCTTTCCTTTTCTGTTCTGGCCATTGTTTTTTTATGCTACGTGCTAGTAAAATTTTATTGTTTTATTTATTGTATTTAGAGCAACTTTCCCCAGTTGTTCCGCAGAGGGCATTTGTCTTTGGTATAAAGTGCATTAAACGCTTAGCGAAGAGACAATCAATTAAAAGTTTTAACCATTTTAATTGCGGGCTTCATGTTTGCACTCAAGAGAGTTTCAAATAAAGTCTTTGAGCTGGTTCAAAGAATAATTTCCTACCCAAAAAAAAAGGTAAGCATTGGATGGTCTTTTTGCATACAAATCAAAAAGCTGTCAAAGGAGCAGCAAAAGCGGTGGGTCCTAGATCCCAGATCCTTCTTGTGTATGCACATGGCCAACTATTTTGGGGAGGGGCTGACATGTGCAGACAGGAGCAGCAAGGACGAATATCCAGGAGAGACAGGAATGCGGAATCCTGGTGGCATGCAAATGTGTGTTCGCTGTGTGCTCTGCCAGATAGACAGACGGAAATGAAATGTGTGACATTTGATGCCACCGAACTGTAGCTTTTGGGCGGATATTGATTTTGTTGTGTGTACATTTTTCACACACGATGGGTGGCAGGGAAATGGAAATGGGCAACATTTACCTTCGTGTTGGCACACAGAAAACTTCTCCTGAAGCAGGCTCCATGTGGCACGAATCGTGTGTCAAATCATTGCTCCAAATGTTTGATATTACACATTATTCTATGTAGTATGATATGTATAGCAGAGCAAAGGTGATATGCCATGTCTTACCTTTTATACACTCTCCCATCACTCAGATAATCCCTTAAAACTACCTTAAACAAAGCAATTTGCGCCTTAATCCCTCAACATTAATTCAAATTATGATGGGAATAAACCAGAGCAGAGCGTTTAATCAAAATGCTTAAGTGAATCTGTGGAGATGACGAAGTGAATCCGCTGAAACGACAACGAAGACAAAGTAAGCACCAGCGCGCGATGACACGGGTCTCGCTTCGACTCCTTCCTGGAAATGCGCTACATTTTAGGTCATTTGCATTTTAAGCACACCTCTCTTTCATCATCTCTTTCTTCTTAGCCCTCTCTCTGCCCCTCGTTTCGTCCCTGTGCGTAGTATTTCATACAAGCTAATTTTTTTACGATTATATGCGCTTAATAAACGCTAACGCCAGTGGAGTCGCAATGAGGGATATCACGGACAGCAGGACAGCGAAAAGCTACGGAGCCTCAGGAAGCCCTGGGAGCGTCTCAGAGCCACCAAGCATTCCGGAAAGCACGAGCACGTGCTGTGCCCACTGCTTAGTCGGGGGCATTATCTAAGCCAGCGCAGCGGAAGCAATGGCAACGCCATCATCAGCAGCAGCAACAGCGCCGGAAGTTGGCTTCCCTACACACAGACACACAGACACATAGACACATGAAGAGGGCCATAGGGTGCCATACGGAGGGAGCTAAGGATAGTGGCAACTCCTGCTGACTTGGTTACTCGCTTTAGTGTGCACTTGTGTGCGTGAATACACTGGTTAACAAGGTTGCCAAGTGGAATGAGATACAGTTATATTTACATATTCACAATATAATAGAGTCCTTTGTATTCGGGAAAGATTGATTTTCCAACAGCCTATTGAAAGTTGGAAAATTGGTGAGTTGATTTAAAGTCTGTGGTTTCTAGTCTGTTACAAAACTATTCAAAAATCCAGTTGTGCTTTACAGTGTAATGGTTATAGGCCAGTAAGTAAACAGGTTTCGTGCCATTCCAGAGCCTTGGCAACTCCTCCCCAATGGTCGTTTATATAGTTCCCCATGGCATACCCTCGCTACTTTGCCCTACCACCCCACCATTGTAACGAGGCACTGAGGCTCCAGTCACAACACTTAAGCACTGTCAATGTGTTTGGATTTCGTTGATTTCAGCTTGCACATATAATAAGAGCCCCGCGAATATATATAGATATGGGGGCCGCCCCCCTCCGTAACGCTAACAAAACGTTTTACTCCCTTTTTGCATACATTTGTCCTTGCCTCCGAGAGAGCGTGTCTTAGCCGCGCGTGTCGCTGTAAGTGCGCGTTTTGAGTGTTCAGCAAATACGCGAGTG